CAAAGCACCCAAGTGCACTCTGGGGCACCCAGGAATCTGACTTCAAATGAGTAGAAAACCTAGATTATTTCTGAAACATCCAGAATTTCAGGATATTTGTTTTTGTTTCTACAACTTTTGTTTTTGTATTGAACTGGGAATGGTCCATGTGGAGTGATAACAAGTATTCTTATCTCATTTGATGCAGGATTGCTGTGGTCTAGAATCTAACAGACTATATCCTGATCCACAACTTACATTTAGTCTTCCAAACAGGATCAGAAGGGTGCCAAATTTACCTATATCTCTTGTGAGAAAACTTTATAGATAAGAGGGGGTGGTCTCCATGGCCTAGTGGTTAAGGTAGTCAGATCCCACAATGGTTGACCATGTAGTTTGAATCCCAGACCCAGTGGCTTGAGAAACTTGCTAGGTGCATGTGCATGCATGCCCAAAATCCAAACAGGAAAAGACATGGAGGAAAAGGGATTGTGGTGTGATCATTCACCATAGAAGGTGCTTTCTCCGCTCTGTCTCTGAGCACATGTGCTCTCTAGCACAAAATAAGTAAATAAATACTTTTTAAAGCTATTTTTTCATTACTAGAGGGTGAGTGCACCAGCTAGAGAGAGAGGAAGAGAAAGAGAGAGAAGGAGAGCGGGAGAAAGCACCTCCTAATGAGACATGGTCATACTGTAATACCTTATCCATTTCTCTATACCATCAGAAATTTGGTCATGTGTGCACATGTACCTGGTGTTTCTCAAACCACTTCAGCCAGGATTCAAGCCACAGTTGGCCATGTCTAATTTAGCTCCCTTAACCACTATGTTACAGGACTGGCAAAGAAAAAAAAAAAAAAAAAAAAAAAGAAAGAAAGAAAGAAAGAAAAGGAAAAGAAAAAAGAAAACTATTTGACACACCATAAAGAGTCACTGCATATCTTTCCATACTTATTGTATCTGTCTTTATAAGTTTATATTGCATAAATAAATTCTTTAAACAGTACTGTATCAGATTATCTTTATATAATTGTTCATGCTCTATAAGTATATGTTGATTGTAGTCAGTTTTACAGTGTGAATAAATAAAAGTTTGGCAGGAAGTTTTCAGGATGGACAAGTACAATATAAAATAGAAATAATCTAAATTATATTTATTGCATGTCAAACTCCAAATTAGCAGCTAAAACTCAAGAAGAGACTTTATTGTAAATATAGACCCTTTCCTGAGTAGATTGGCCTGATGCTCTACAAAAGACAAAAATGTCAACAAAATATCAGACATTATCAACTAGTGTATGGGAAATAAAGAAAAAGTAGAGTATTCAGAAAAACAATGCAAATCTACCAGTTTTAGAACTTTACCTATGTTATAGTGTAAGTAAAACCAACAAGTGAAAAGATACAATATTGTATTCATAGATAACATGATCACTACTTAGGCAAACTAAAAACAGAAAAGCACATGGAGAAATGACTGGAAAGATATTCATTCGAAATGTTAACTGTAAATGTTTGGGAATTGAAAAATTAGAGAATTGGAAGTGATTTTTTTTCTTCAATTTTCTACTTTGCCATTATTCACATTTACTACCATTATAATAAAAAAACAAAATATTTCAAAGGAAAGAAACTTACAAATTAAATTAGAGTCCAGAAAATGATAACTAAAATGAGCAAGAGGGATGGTTCCACAACACGACAGTTATGCAACTTGCACAGGGAGCCAAATCCCACATGGCCAACCACAAATTCAAATCCGAGCTGGCATCTTGGAAAACACACTGGGTGCATGTGTGTGCATGCCCCAAAACCTGATGGGATGGAGAAATAGAATAAAAAGGATTGCAGCATGATCATACTCATTGGGGGAGGGGGTGCTTTCTCCCTCCTTCTCTCTCTCTCTTTTTCTCTCTTTCTCTCTGTCTCCATGAAAAGTGCATATAACTTCTAGAATTTTTTTAAAAATGAATGAGAGACCAGCAGTTAGCATAATGGCTATGTTGCTGGACTCCCATGTATCTGACTGCGGTTCGAGTCCCGGACCCGGTGGCTTAAACACACGCCGGGCGCATGTGCGTGTGTGCCCAAGATCCTGAGAAGAGAATGGAGGAGAAGGGATTATGGCGAGGCTATCCCCCCTGGGGGATGATTTCTCACTTTCTGTCTCTCTGTCTCTCTCTGTCTGTCTGGCGATCACATGTGCCCTATAGCAAAAACCTCTCCAAAAAAAATGTAATGAGCAAGAAAGAAATGAATTAATGTATATGAACAAGCCAAAGAACACAATATGGGAAGACAGAAAGAAGAAAGGGGAACAAATTATATTTATATATAAGCAAATAAAGAGTTATTCATCTTGAATAAAGAGAATTGAAGCTGGAGAGGCAAATTTCTGACAATCAAGAGGCAAAAACAAAGGCCAGATGTTAGTATAGCAGTAAAATGTGATGCTCTGTGAGGCTAACTAATGTGCAAAAATTACGGGTTCACATTCAGAGACTTCCCTCAGTATGCCAGGTATGTATGTGCCTGTGATCTGGGGCTGGCTGAAGATGCAGGGTGGATTACGGAGTCAGGACCCTGATGGGGGGTGCTCTCTCTCTCTCTCTCTCTGTGTGTGTGTGTGTGTGTGTGTGTGTGTGTGTGTGTGAGTATGTCTCACTCTCATTCACAAAAGAAATCACTTTTTAAAAGATGATCTTGTTATTCTCTGTGGTAGACAAAATAATGCGTCCCTCTCCCTTCACCCCAGCAAATATTCACATCCTAATCCCAATATCTATAAATATTTTACTTTACATGGCAGAAGGGATTTTGAAGATGTGACTAAATGAAGGATCTTGACATGAAGACATTATCTTCAATTATCCTGGCAGACCACTGAAATCACAAGAATCTTTATAAAAGGGAATGCAGGAGGTTGAGTGAGAGATGTAGATGTGATGAGGAAGAAGCAGAGGTCAGTGTGGTGCACAGCCTTGAGCCAAGAAGCTGGAAAGGGAAAGGAAACTGATCCTTCCCTAGAGCCTCCAGAAGGAACCCGACCCTACACACCATGCTTTTAGCCAAGTGAGAATGATTTTAGACTTCTGGTATCCTGAACGGTAAGATAATATATTTATGTTGTTTTAAGCCACTAAGCCTGTGATAATTTGTTATGAAGGCAATAACAAATTAACATACTGCCCATTCATAAATTCATCCAGCTCCAGTTACAGCCATCAGCTCATAGTTAGTTCCCTGGTGCAAAAAACACTCTCTGGCAGAAATGCCTCTTTCGTCCATCTGCCTAAATCCTATCTTGTTTTTCAATTTTTTTAAGGAATTATTTTATTTAACTTTATTTATTTTAATTTGACCGGAGAGAGACCGAGTGAGAGAGAGAGAGAGAGAGAGAGAGCGCAGTACCTCCTAGCATGTCTCCTTTTCCACACTTACCACACTTGTACTCATTGATAATCTTATTCCTGTTTGTACCATTTTGCCAAGTTCTTACTTAGTAAGTAGCTTTGTTACTTGTTCCCTAGCTATCTTGTAGGTCTTGCCAGCAATATAATAAACCAACAGAGAATACAGCCTACCTCCTCTGTGTGTGCACCCACATGTGTGTCTTCCCTCCATATGCTTCATACCCAGTGCTCCAACCCCCATATCAAAACAAAACAGAAAGCAAAAAAAAAGCATCAAATAAATGCTTGGCAAAAATGAACCAGTCTCCTCTGTAACAAATTATTTCTCAGTAAGCAAAGAAAAATATTCATGATAATATTTTATTAGAACACACATTTTATTCTACTCCTTTGCCTGCTATAATACACTAAGCTATTTATTCCATTCATGTACCCCTTGAGGAAAAAGTCCTAAGAGCACTTTTTTTCTAGACATAATTGTCATTATTATTATTATTTTGTAGAGATATTTTTGTTATAGGGCATGTGCATTTTCCAGAAACAAGGGAGACAGAGAGACAGAAAGCAAAAAATCACCCTCTGGGGGGATGGTCTTGCCACAAACCCTTCTCCCCCATTCTCCTCTTGGGATCTTGGTCACACATGCACACTTGCCCGACTTGAGTTTCAAGTTGTTAGGTCCAGGACTCAAACTATAGTTGGCTACATGGGAATCCAGCAACGTAGCCATTACATCATCTTCTGCTTGCATCTAGGCAGAATTAATAGATCTGGTTTTCATACTGATGATCTTTCACTTTAAGTACAAGATGCAATATCCACCATGAACCAAATTTATTCATTTAACAAATATTAGTTGGGTGACAACTATGTGCAAGTCATGTTTGAGATGTGGGGAAACATAGTAATAAATCAAAACTTATGTTCTGTAGGGGGAAAGATACACAAATAAATGTAAAAGTAAACAGATTAATGAGTTGACTCTCCCTGGAGTAGAAAA